CTCTGGGATTATGGGATGAACCCTTTCAGGCCACTTCTGTTAAATGCCAGCATGGGTTTGGATTTTTTTTTTTTCCTTATCATTTTTTAATCAGTTTAGGAAATCTGTCTCCAGTGTCTTTTCCATACTTCCACAGCTTGTTGGATCATTCAGTTTTGCACCTTAGATGAATCTCATAACTTAAGAACAGATTTTAAATAGTAATTAATTAAGACTATATGCTACATAACTAAAATGGTGACAACTGAATTAATCTACTTTTGGCAAGCATGGAAGAAGAATCATCTGTTTATTTTCTTAGGAAAATGGCTGAGATGCCATTTCTTGACAATGTAACCATGGACCTGCCAATTTTTAAGTATAAAGTTTTCTTGAAAAATCCTAAATGCATAAGTTACGTGCTTGTGAGAAGCTTTAAAGCCTGAAATGAAGCTTGTTAAGCTTTAGAAACATGCCTGAGTGTCACCTACTGCTTTGATTCCTCCTGTTCTTGAAATTAATAATTTAAACTATATTATACGTATATAAAATGTGTAATTATGGACCAGCAGTGTTGGCTACTTGATTACTGGCTTCTTGGTTTTGCTTGTCCTGCATTACCCTCCTGCCTTTCAGGGATCTTTTGTTAGCTATTTAATAAAAGAATAAAAAAAATATATTTAATAAAATAATAAAGTAATAAAATGTAAAAAATAATGACCACCTCTTCAAAACTGTAAATACTCTAGAATCAGGCAGAATTGGGGCATAAAATGTGAATTACAGAGTGTCAGAATGGTTTGGTTTGGAAGGCACCTTTGCTGGGATCCATGATGGATTTGAAGCAGCAGATGCAAAGTGGTGGGCGTGGTTCATCTCAGAGAAATTCTGGCTGTGCTAAGTGCCCTTGTATTTCTGTGCTGTAGGATCTGCCAAGCATCCTGCTTTCCTCAGGAACACGTAGCCATTTAATTGCCTCTTCAGCTTGGACTTGGTGCTTGATGCAAGGAGGACAGGATCTGCGTGGTGTTGGAAGTAGTGAAGGTGTTAATAAAAAAACATCACTGAGTTTGGTTGTGGGTCTTTGGGAGCACTCTGAACAGGGACATTAAATCAAGGGGACAACTGCAACTGCTGCCTGCAAAGGGCTGGGCTGTAAATCAAACCACCCTGCAGCCTCCTCCCCAAAGACAGGCTCAGTAACCACAGAAATCTGATTTTTGGGGCTACTTTGTGCTTTGTCCCACCAGGGTCCCTTCAGGCTTTGCCCTGCTCGATGTGCTTTGATTGTCTGAGAAAAGCAGGAGAGCAGTGCCAGTGGCACTTGCCCCAGGCAGGGCAGGTTGTTCCACCCTCAGCCTCTGGATTTGGAGGGATTTCTGCGTTTTGTTGCAAAGCTGGGGAAACTTGCCTCAGTTACACCAGCAGGATGAGTTGGCTCCTGGCTGTGAATTTAAGTCAGTGACCAGAAATACATTTTGTTTATCCCAGGTCAGAAAATCACAGATTGGTTTGGGATGGGAGGGACCTGAAAGTTGAACTCATTTTCCCCCCTGCCATGTCAGGGACACCTCCCACTGTCCCAGCTGCTCCAGCTCCAGTGTCCAGCCTGGCCTTGGGCACTGCCAGGGATCCAGGGGCAGCCACAGCTCTGCCAGGGAACAATTCCTGATTCCCAAAATCCAGTATAACCCCAGGTGAGTACGATGGAGAAGCCCTGCACATTACTGTGCTACCAACAGCTTCATTTCTGTGATTTACACCTTCTGTCAGGGTTAGAAAAGTTTCCCGTGTCATTACAGTTCCTTAACGTTGTGCTTGCAGCTTAGTGATTCCATAGTAATAGATTTCCCATTGTAGTAATTCCATTATTAGAGGAAAATCCTTTGACCTCAAGTTGCACACGTTTGAAGTTCCATGTGTGTGTGCAGTTGCTGCTCTGGCTGTGGGACTCAGGGTCAGTCTGAAGAGAGAAATCTTCCTGCCTTCTTTCTGAATGTGTAGGGTTGGATTATATTAACAGGTAAGTTATTACTGATGTGTATGAAAATAAGGAATAAAAAAGAAGATAGACCATGAATTCAAGAACATAAATTACTTGTATGATCTTGAGTGAAGAATTTTTACTTAAATGTTGCTTCATTACATTTCAGTAAATGTGGTCAGAAATTGGAAGGAAGGGAAAAACTTATATCCTCTTTATTAATTACATCACTGTTTCCTTTTCCTAAACGGAAGAGATTACGGGAGGCATGTTTTATTACTTCTGCCTTTTCCTGACCTGGTGACTGCTGGGAAAATGTCTGGAATCAACTGGCACTGACTTTCTGGTGTTTGCTGGTAGGATCCTGCATGAACTTTTTGACACCCCTGTGTGAATTTATTTTTGCAAAGCAACATCATGCAAACCAGGTTGGGGAAGAGGCAGTTTCAGGCACAAATCCCCTGCACTGTCAACAATGGAGAGACCATAAATGTTGTGATGGATGCTTGAAGGCAGTTTAATGGTAGCACTGGAGAAAATAGAAGCCATTACCCCTGGAAGAGCTCCAGTTATGACAGAAAAAATAAATGGTGCTGTTACAAGAGATGTACTGACAACAGAATTCCTGCTGGCTGGGAAGGAGAGCAGCAGAGCACGGTACAGAAACCTACAGACAATTTCCCCTTATCTGAAGTAATGTTTATTTTTGGTTTAAATCCAACATGGAGACTGCTTGATCAAATGGCTTAATCCAATCTGACGGAAGTTTAGTCTTAATTATACTTGTGCTTGGGAACTGCCCAGTCTTTGCCAGTGCTCAGATCAGAGCTGTGCAGCCAGAGCTCGCTCAGTCCCAGCCTGGGCTGGCATTCCTGAGCAAACCAGGTTCAAGACTCAGGGAATGGCTCCCAGTGCCACAGGGATGGGATTTTGGGAATTAGGAATTGTTCCCTGCAGCTGGGCTGCCCCTGGATCCCTGGCAGTGCCCAAGGCCAGGCTGGACACTGGGGCTGGAGCAGCTGGGACAGTGGGAGGTGTCCCTGCCGTGGCAAGGCTGTGATGGGATGAGCTTTAAGGCCCCTCCCAACCCAAACCATTCCAGAACTCTGTGATTTGTTTTCAATCTACCCCGTGGAACATTTAGTGTCTTGCATCCATCTCTCTCTCTCTCTCACAGTTTTTTTTATGGGAGGAGCTGAGGCAGCAGGTACAGCAGCAGGCACAGAACATCCTCACACATCTTTCCTGCGTCACCTAGGAGAGAGGTCTTTCTACAGAAAATAAATGAAGCAACATTTTGAGCTTCCAAATTCAGCAGAGCTGGCGCCTGCCTGTGAAAGTATTCCTTCCCCATCCCAGCAGGGTCAGGAGGGATATGCAGATGTGTGATGGATTCCAGCCTGTGGTGCTGAACAGGCACTGCTGTAAATCAGCCTCATAGCTGGATAGATCCAAAATCATAGACAGATCCAAGAAAATAATGCTGTTGATTTCGAATAAACTGTGTGCCAGAGTATTACTGCCCAGAAGAGTTGTGGGCAACCTGCAAATGGGTTCTTGCAGTACAATGCCTGCGAGTGCTTGTGGGAATTGACTTGAAACTCTCACACTGCCCTGGTGCATGACTGACTGGAAAAAGATTAATTGTAAACAAGAAGTGACAATTCTTACATATTGTTTGTACTGTTTTGGGTTTTTTTCTTCATGAAGTCCCAGTAAGACTTTACATTTTTGATGTAACTAAAATACAGTTACAGGCTGGCATGGGACCAGCCTAGATGAAGGGTGCTTTTCCTGGGAGTGTGTGACACATTCCTGTCTTTTGGGTAGCATGGAATTCCCAAGTTAGGAGTGTTTCAGTGTCACTCTGTTGCCACATGAGAAAAGGAAGAACTAAAGAATGATGTGGAATTTAAAGGTAATAGACTGTTTTCAAAGATCAAGTCTGGCCTCCATGTGTCACTCACTGGTAGTTTGCTGAGGCAAGGAGTGCAGGGCAGAATCAAATATTGGGGGCTCAGGATAGTTGGGAATAACTTCAGGCTGAATATTCAGCTTTGGGAATTGTCTTCATGGCTTGTTAAGAGAGCTGAGTCACTTAAGCCCAGGTTACTTCTCTCTTCTTTCTGGGAGTTTGTGAAGCTTTCTCAAATTTTTTGCACAATTCACTTTTTTTTTTTTACTTTGTGTAATAGTTTTGTAAACATTATTAGCCATATACTTTTTTTTGTTGTCTTTAAGGTATACCATTGGCACAATCGATGTATTTTCTGGAATTATTTTGAGGCCCAAGTTAATTTGGGCAGATAATGAAAAGGGGGTTTTAATTCAAAATATTCTTTCTCAAAGAAAACTGCATCAATTCACTTCTGAAAACAGCAGATGGTAGCATTCTTATGCAAGTTATCTGTTTGCAGTGGGAAACAAAGCTTTCTGAACACCTTTTTTTTCTATATTCTGAAGGTTGTGGGAGTTTTCTAAAGTTCTCTTAGACATAAAGGGATTGATCCTCATGAGAACATTTTCAGCATCAGAAAAAAGTGGAAGTTGAAGTCACTTTGAGAGCACTTCCTTCTCCCCTCTTGCTGCCTCTCCAGCCAGAACTCTGCATATTCCCAGCACCAGCCTGAGACCAGGGCTCGGGGTGGTTTGAGACCTTTATTTCTGGAGGGGAATGGGTTTTTTTTGTCTTATATTTGTGGTTTACACAGTAGCTTTGCCTCTCTGCCTCCAGTTAATGCTGATACAGTAACTCGAGTTACTTCAGCAAACCATTTCATTTAAACTGAAGTAGTGGTATAGTCTGGTTGCTGATCTTACTTCCCTTTCAACAGAGAATATGTATTATTGATGTGTAATGTATTCAGTATATATTAATTTGTCATGACTGTGATAGGAAGAGCAAAGTGAGCGGGGATTCTGAAATCATAAGAGTTGCATCAGGGGCTGATTGCACCCTGTCTTGTCTTTTCCAGATGCACCTGATGAGTTTTCTGCTTTTCCCTTCCGTGACAAAGCTAATTCTGTTCCCTCTTAGGAGCACCCCATCCTCGGGCAGCCTTTCTTTGTCCTGCACCCCTGTCGGACCAATGAATTCATCTCCGCTGTGCTGGGAGGCTCACAGGAGCACCGCAGGTGAGGGGCACTGCTGGGCCCTGCAAGGATTTCTGCAGTGCAGGGTGGGAATGGCCAAAGCTCCTTCCTTGGTGCCAGCAGATTAAGATTCCTGTATTGTCACTTTAGGCCTCAAAATTAAAATACATTAGTGATAGGAAAAAGGAACAGCCCCATGTGAAGTTGTTTTGTGACAGTTTTGTTGAGTCTGTCTGCGATTCAGAAAAAGCTGGGATATTACATTTATGGTGGTTTTTTTTGTGTTTCTTTATTCTTTACCCCCTAGAAACACAAATTACATCACACTGTGGCTCAGTACTGTAGGCCCAGTTGTGGGCCTGAATCTGCCTTTGAGTTATGCAAGACTGGCACCTGAGCAGAGCACACCTGTGGCTGACAGGTAAGAGTGAAGGAAATCATCCTTTCCTCCCCCATCGTCCTGTTCCAAGGTTCAGATGGATAAATGGCAGAACCATTACCTCCTCCTTTGTGCCTCACTTGCTTTGCAATGGAAATGTGTTCAGAGAGAGAGTTGCTCAGCCCATTGCTGACAGCCTTGATGAGTCCAGAGGGCCCCTGAGCTCCTGGGGTCTCTCTCAGGTGTGGAGAAATGTTTTATATTGGTTCTCCCAGCAGAGGGCTGGGGGTCTGGCATAACTGCTACAAGGATTTTAATTTAACTCCTTTTTTTGTGTTTGCTGTTGCCTCTCCAGAGCCCTGAGCTGAACGACTGGGAGTGGTTAGGTGTGAAAAAGCTGCTGCAGACTTCCCTGGGGATGAAGTTGAAGGATGCTTCCTGGCTGGTTAGCCGTGCCAAAGTGGAAATGGTTGCTCATGGCTCTTTCTCTGGCCAGAACTCGACGCTGATGAGGGTGGGAATTGGCTGCAGCTGCGGGAGCACCTCCCCAGCCCCAGCCTCCCTTGAAGTCACTCATCTGCCTCCTGTGCCCCTGCCCTTGCTGAGGCTGCACACAGATGCACCAGCCAGACCCAGAGTTGCTGGATTTACTGAACTTACCTCTAGAAAATCTGCACCATCCGTGGGGCAGAGAATGCAGTATAAACACAGAGGAACGCTCGTGGGATGCGGTGTGAGCTTGTGGCAACGAGAGTATGGCTGAGACCGCTTCCCCTGGGAGCCACCTTCTCCACCAGAGCCTGCTGAGGGACCAGCCCGCGCTGCCCAGCACACAGAGCATCCCCATCCTGCCCCTGCGGAGCAGACGGGGTCGGGGCTGTCGCAGAGCCCGTGGAGCCTGTGCTGAGCAGGTCCAGCTCTGGAGCTCGGGTGCCTGGAGCAGCCGTGTGGGAACGTCTGGCTCTGCCGTGCTCCGCTGCCTGCCAGGGAAGCTCTCCGTGCGCCGGGAGCTGCTGCTGGCCCCAGTTAGTGCTTCTCGCTGGAGCTGTGCTTGTTCACAGGTTTGCTCCCTACCCTGCGCTGCTTCCCCTGACAGCTGCTGGTTTTTCGGGAACTGCCTGGTGGTGCTGCCGTGAGAACCAGATGAGGAGGAACTTCCCTACCACCCATCCTGGCTTCTCTCCCAGTCCCTTTTCATTTGCAGCGTAAAACAGAGTCTGAGCAGCCGACACTGGAACACAGGTTTTTACTCTGTGCATTTAGCAATTGTCACTTGCACACAGAGTCTAGGGCTGGGAGTGTGAAATGCATCCCAGATCCTGTTTTTTCACATGTTTTTAACTTCCATTACTTGCCATTGCTGGATGTGGAACACAAGAGTGCAGTCCTTCAAATTCCGCGGGTGTGGAATTCGTCTGCCAGACATTTGGAATTAATAATTAAATCACGTTGTTTATTTTGTTGTTCTGTGTCACACCAACCTGGAAAGCCATCTTTCCCATATAAGATTTACAAAATACGGCTCGCAGCTACATTGGCTTTTTTAACACTCTTGGTAACACATGCTTGATAATTGCATCCACAGCCCATTTTTAGATTTCAGTGAGACTTAGACAGGAGGAAGAACCAATAAAAAAAGGTAACAGCAGGTTTAAGAGATGTTAAACATTCACCCCTGCACTGTGATCTTCACTTGTGATACCCTGGAACAGAAGAAGTGCTCAACCTTCAAAATGTGGAATTTGTATGTAAAGGAAAATAAATATTTGTATTTTACATGGAGCATGTCTCAACACCCATTGCTTTCTACCTTAATTCACCATTTGCAAAGAAAAATCAGGATTACTTGACCAGGGCATTACACTGGGTTCAAACAGTGAGGTGACAGTGCAGTGTCTCATCAGTATCAATAATTTCCCTGAAATTTGCCTGGAAAACCAAAATTCAGCTCAGTTAGTAGAAATACATGGAGGTTAGATAGAGAAACAAGTACAGGCTAACATAAATATTTGGGAGATAAATAAGCCTGTTTGGGTATCTCCTTTGCAATGGCTGGGGTGGGAGGTAGGCAACCTATTTCCTGTTTACATTTATACCTGGATGACTTAGGGTATCTTAGCTGAATTTTTGTGCATGAAAAGTATATAGATATATAATCTTAAAAAATTAAGTGAATCATGACACTGTTTTGTGATTCTATTTTATGTTGTGATTCATTATGTAGTGAAACTATTGAAGATCCTTAGACCTGAGTTTGGGTTTTGTCTACATGCATTGTCTGAACTCCTGCATCCTACCAAGGAGAAAATTTCCAGTTTAGATTTGTAAATTTGCTCCTTTGTTCATCTTTGCTAATCTGGGAAGACACAAAAGGGAGGTTCTTTACTTCTGGGGAGCCCTGTCAACAGAGAACAGTCTCACACCTGCCCTGCGCTGCCAGAATCATCAAGAGCAATTAATTTTATGTGTTCACCTAAGCCAAAGAAATGTGTTTTTCTGGGGAGTGCAGTTGGTAGCCACATAGATAATCCCTCATTTGTGTCAGCATGACCAGGTAAGAATTTAACCCCCTGCCAGGAGATCTGAGCTTGCCTGGCTTTGCTTACTAACAGGAACATGCAGGAAATGTGGAGCTATTTAATTACAGCTAAATACAGTCAAGTAATCAGTATCAATTTTTGCTGCTACTCCATGAATTTCAGCAAAACTTGCTCAGTAACTTTTTTCCCCCCTCCTTCTTCGCTATGATGATGGTTTCATGAGTCTGTTTGGACATCTGTATTTATATTGCACACGTATAAACTCAGTTCCAGCACAAAGGAAGGACGATTGCTCTCCTTCTGAATGGTGAAGTTACAATTATTTCCTCCAAAATACTCTCTTTTAGAGAACAGCGTGTGTATGGGTATTTATACCTATTTTTAACAACATGTAGGCTTTTAAAAGTGTTTCAAGGAATTTACTGCATTTTTAGCAATAAATTCTTACCACCTAGAATTAAAAAAAAAAAAAAATGCCTGAAGCTGAGAGCTGGAAAAGTAACCCTGTATTGAGTGCTCAGGATCTCAGGACTAGGAAGGTGTCACAGAGGTTGCTATCTCTTGGATTTAGTGAAAATCTTAAAAAACCCTGCACCACGAGGAAGCTTTCAGTGCCTCACTTGAGAGCTTGTTGTAGCTGTCACCTCCTGAAGACAAATTCACCTTAGAGGCAGAGGGGATTTCACTGCTGTGTTTGAACAGAGAATGGATTTATGGAGCACTCTCTTAACACCTTCCTCAAGTGTCTTACAAAACGACATCTCCTACAGCAGCACTGTTATTCAGTCAGGTGTTGCTGGTGTCAGATGGTTGGCCAGCTGCTTTAATAAGTGAAAACAGTAATTACTTCTAGTGATGAGGTGGAAAAAGTAGCCAGCTGTGGATTCTCCCTCTTTTGGAGGATGTTGGGTTAGGGAGCTTTCATCTCCACATGTAAATTATTACTGAATCCTGGAATGGTTTGGGTTGGAAGGGACTTAAAAGCCCATGCAGTGCCACCCCTGGATGGGGGACCATGGCAGGGACCCCTCCCACTGTCCAGCTGCTGCAGCCCCAGTGTCCAGCCTGGCCTTGGGCACTGCCAGGGATCCAGGGGCAGCCCCAGCTGCTCTGGGCACCTGTGCCAGGGCTGCCCACCCTGCCCTGCCTCCTGTCCCTCCATCCCTTGTCCATTGTCTCTCTCCATCTTCCCTGGAGCCGCCCTGAGCTCAGCCCAAAGCTTCTCCTGGCCGGGTGAGCGATGGCAGCTGTGCCAGCCTTTGCTGCCAGCAGAGCTGCTGCATCCCCTGCTCACCCTGGAGCCTCCTGTGGGCCGGCTCCAGCAGCTCCAGCTCCTCCCGGGCTGGCCCAGGGCTGGGGCAGCTCTGCAGGGCTCCGAGCTGAGGGGCAGAGGGGCCGAGGGGCCGAGGGCTGGTGCCCAGCCCAGGCTCGGGCTCAGCCCGCCCTAGTTCCGTTTCCCCGGGTCTCGCTGCTGCTGCCGCGACACCTGGCGGCCACGCGGCCGCACAGCAGCGCCGAGCGCTCCTCGCCCGGGATCCAGTCCTTCCCTCCTGCTCCCGGGAGCTGCACGCAAATTCCAGCGTACCCTTAGGTTCCTTTGCCATTTTCACACGAACACCTGAATTCTATAGTGTATTATTTGTATCAGAGCCTTTGTAACGAGGGAATGGTTCACTCTGACTTCAGCCAGATAACCTCAAAATAAACGTTTTGAGGTTGTACTGCATTAAGAAGCTGCTGAACTATGCATTTTTTATCTGCCTAAGCAGGTAAAAATTCAGACACCCAGACTTCCCCCATACTAAGCAGTCAATTTGTACTCAAAAAAGTGAAACTCTCTGGGCTGGGCAGATGTTTCAACCAACCCAAAGCTGCTGAGTTCTGTGCCTGTACTCGCACCCGAGACCGTTTTTCATGTGAGCAAGGCTCTTTTTCACAATTATGCATTAAAATTCATGCAGTTTGTCACGCCTTGAGGGGATGTTCTCATTCCTAAATGAACATTAAGGTTTGGGCTTTTTCTTTGGCCAGATGTAGGGAGAAATTCAGTGTTTTAATGCTCTGTGCCCGCAGCAACCCCTGAATAAGAAGCAGAGAACTTCAAAACCCACCATTTTATTGGTGTTGTTGCCAGACCGGTGAGGGATTTACGACCTGGGCCTCTCCTTCTTGCCCTTGTAGAGGGCCAGCAGGGACACGTTGGCCACCTTGACCACCTTGAAGCGCACGCCCGGGATGTCCCCCACGGCGTGGCCCTTGCGCCCAAACCCGGCCACCAGCACCTCGTCGTTCTCCTGGGACAGGACAGGGACAGCAACGGGGGGTCAGCACCAGAGCCACCCCAAAAACCTCCCGTGGCAGCCTGGGAACACAGTAAATCTGTTTTCACTCCTTTCCCCCCACCCTCCTCACAGCACTTCAGGCAATTACCTCAATGAAGTTCAGGCAGCCATCGTTGGGGACGAAAGCTGTGATTTTCTTGCCATTCTTAATGAGCTGGACTCTGACGCACTTCCTGATGGCCGAGTTGGGCTGCTTGGCTTCTACCCCCCTGCAAAGGAAACCAAGCAGCAAGGAAATCAGCGTGGGGGGCCAGGAGGGGCGTTAATTAACACAAAATGCACCTTTTTTCCTTGTATTCAGTGTAAGTGCTATCTGTATCTCAACACCTGTGAGCTATTTAGAAGTACTGAGTAATTAATACATACTAATCTAGGTTAATGCTTGAATCCATAAAATACCGGTTCCTAAACCAAACAGAAAAGATAATCTCTAATATAACTCACTAAAATTCTAAAGAACACCCCAAAACAATCAAAATCACAGACAGTGCCACCAAAAACAGAAAAGGTAATCTCTAATATAGCTCACTAAAATTCTAAAAAACACCCCAAAACAATCAAAATCACAGACAGTGCCACCAAAAACACAGCTGTGGCAGCATCCCAATGAAATTTACAAATTATTGAAAAGCAGGGAAAAAATAGGAAGAAGTAGGTAGGATGCATGACACACGAATGCTGCTTCCTTGCCATTTGTGCCAAAAAAAATCCCGATTATCACTTATACAAAAAAAAAAAAAAAAAAAAATTGGCTTTTCCATGCTATTCAACTAAAATCCCCAATTTTTTCAAACTTTTAAAAGAAAGTGATTTTCTCTGATTTTTTGCCACAAATCCCGGTTTTTTGTAGTTTTTGAAAAAGAAGCCACGCTTCTCATTTTGCTGTAAATTGTGCATCAGCTTTAACGCAGGTTGTACAGATTTTTACATTAATTCTTCCCCATGACGTTTATTCCCCCCCCCAAATTTCTTGAGACAAGCATCCTGAATCACTCTTTTTCCTCATCCACAGGGCTGGGGCTGCCCATGGCCGCCGGCGGGAGCACCCACACTTTCTCCAGGACGATGCCCTTGGCGTGGGAAGCGCCGCCGAAGGGGTTGGCCTTCAGCGCCGTGCCCAGGTGCGCCTTCTTGTACTGCTTGTCGTGCCACTTCTGGTCCCGGCGGTGACTGCGCAGCTTCCGAGCGGTGCGGAGGCCTCGGCACTTCCCTGCAAGGCGAGAGGTGAGGAGGGGAAGGAGGCGTGAGGGGAAAGCGGCGAGGCCATGAGGCGGGTAATGGCGGACGCGGCCTCACGGCGCGCAGCGCGGCCCGCGCCGCGCCCAGCCGGCCGCGGGCGGGCGGGCAGAGCCGGCAGAGCCTGCGGAGAGCCGCGGGCACCGCCGGGGATGCCGCAGCCGCGGCCCCGGCCGCAATCGCGGCCCAATTCCCGGCGCGGAGCGGCGCTCACCCATCTTCCCCGCGCGGCTGCCGAGCGAGAAAAGGGGCCGGAACCGCCGCGCCCGCCTCTTATAGCCGCGCCCGGCAGGACCCCGCGCGGGCTGCCCGCGCCGCGCCTGATCCAAACACCGCACCGCCAGCGCGTTCGAGTCCCGGCACGGAGCCGCTCCCGCTGGAGGCCGCGGGTTCGAGTCCCGGCGTCGCGGGTTCGCTCCGGCCTCAGGGGAAATGGGGAAAGAAAAGTTTGGAAAATTTGGGAACGTTTCCGTGCAGGCATGGAAAATGCTGGAAAAGCGGCATTGATAATGGTGATAAACGCCGGTCACTTGTTTTTTTTTTTTTAAAGTTTGATGAGTTTAATATTAGTAAAATGGTTATTTTATTAATTACAAAAAATAGTAATACACTTAGAGTGATAAAAAATTTAGAGTTAGGACAACTATAAGACAGTAAAAAAACAAAGAATTATGG